CTTTAAATGCATCTCCACACCGGAAAGTAACACCACCAATGTGTTCATCTGTGTCATTTCAAAATTTGAAGCTGATATTCCCCTTTGCTCTTCATATATAGAATAATAACTTACAAATGACAAACAGCTTAACAGACACTTTTCCCCTAATTAGTGCAAAGGTTTACCATATACGATAAATGCACTATATACCTCTACCCTAACAAGAAAGAGTAATAAAAATTCAGAACATTCTCCTTTTTTTTTTTTTTAATAGAATTTACATATATACACACCTTCAGACATAAAAATATTAATACTCTTCATATCACATTTTAAAAATCTGAAAGACAGCTGGTGATAAATCACAGTGAATGCTAAGTAAATTTATGTCTACCATTTGCCACATGTACTTAATATGGCTTATCATACACCATGCAGGCTAAACAAAAGTAAATTCATGCACAAGGTAGATCTACATAAAATAAATCTGTAATTATTCCTATCTTGTCTCTGAACAAAGTACAGAAACATACAATAAAATATATATTTATATTAATGAGTTTCATCTTCACTTTTAGGTACAATAGTTAAAAATCTTTTTTTAATATATGATATAAAAAATCAGGGAAATTAATACTTTCAACATGATCCCGCCATTGTGCTACTGTTCAATCATGAAAGCTATAAAAATAATAAGTAAATAATAATTTTCAATGTCTGTAATGCAGTACCTAAACTTAATCTAAACAAGCAAGCAGCACCAATAATTTAAATAATATAAAATAAAAGGTTACATATCTCTTAGTCATTGATATTATTAGGCATCTTGTATATAAAAATAACATAATAAACTACTAAATTAACTTTGGTAAAACACAAAATGTTTCATAAATCAATCAGTCCAAGAGAGGATATTGCTGGCTTCTTTTAGACTGTAAATTTGATTGGTGTCCAGAAGATCAATTAGTTGCTTGAAGGGTGTATACAGCTTCAAAGTCGTGACATCCCCAACCATGATCAGTTTATGCTTTGCCCTTGTTACAGCCACATTCAAACGTCGCTCATCTTGAAGAATTTCTCCAGCCTGTGTGGAAAAAAACGTGGATAAATAATATATACTAGTGGAAACAAAGTAGCCTGTTGAATGCTAAATAATTACAATAGTATATTTATTCTCAGTTCCATTAGCCACAAGTTTCTACATGCTGAATAAATGCTATTTTGGATTTAAAGATACTTGACAACATCACAGCATCATGATTATTCTTTCAAGCACTAATTCCTCAAAATATGGAAATGCCTTAGAAGACAAAATCAATTTACACATTCATATTGACATACCTCAACTTGTGTCACACCTGAGCGTACACAGGAATAAATGATGACACTTTTGTCTCGTCCCTGGTACTGATCTACAGTGTTGACTTCTATCCTGTGACCACCAGTGACATTGTGCTGTACTGACTCACGAATTAGTTTTACTTGTGCTCGGTAGGGTGTTATAACTCCAACATCTTCTCCACTCAAGCCAACCTGGCAAGCGAAATACAGAATACATAAATATCAAGCTGTTAGTAAGATTCATAAATCTGACAGAGCAACCCTTTTATAATTAAGGTAAAGAATTTATTCAAATAAATAAGGAATGCTAAATAACATATAATAATTATTAAATGAAAATTGCTCATATTCTCTTTGGACAAAGGAAGAGAAAGAAAGAATAAATGGGTTACAACCAACAAGATCGTCACACTTAACACTGAATAAGAAAGATCAAAATCAAATGTACTGAGAGGGGGGGAGGGAGGGAGGGAGAGAGGGGGAGAGGGGAGAGGGGGAGAGAGGGGGAGAGGGGAGAGGGGAGGAGGGAGGGGGGGAGAGAGAGAGAGGGGAGGAGAGAGAGAGAGAGAGAGAGAGAGAGAGAGAGAGAGAGAGAGAGAGAGAGAGAGAGAGAGAGAGAGAGAGAGAGAGAGAGAGAGAGAGAGAGAGAGAGAGAGAGAGAGGAGGGAGGGGGGGAGAGGGGGAAGAGGGAGAGGAGGGAGAGAGGAGAGAGAGAGGAGAGAGAGAGAGAGAGAGAGAGAGAGAGAGAGAGAGAGAGAGAGAGAGAGAGAGAGAGAGGAGAGAGAGGAGGAGGAGAGGAGGAGGAGAGGAGAGAGGAGGGAGGAGGGAGGGAGGGAGGGGGGAGGGAGGGAGAGGAGGGAGAGGGAGAGAGAGGAGAGAGAGAGAGAGGAGAGAGAGAGAGAGAGAGAGAGAGAGAGAAGAGAGGAGGAGAGAGAGAGAAGAGAGAGAGAGAGAGAGAGATGAGAGAGAGAAGAGAGAGAGAGGGAGGGAGGGGAGAAGAGAGGAAGAGGAGAGGAGAGATGAGAAGGAGAGAGAAAAGGGGAGAGAGGACAAAGGAGGAGGAAGAAGAAGAAGGGAGGAAAGAGAGGGATGGAGGGAGGGAGGGAGGGAGGGAGGGAAGAGAGAGAGAAGACAGAGAGAGAGGAGAGAGAGAGAAATTAGGAGAGACGGAGAAAGA